CTCAAGGTGTTTCAGAGGATGCTAGGCCTCATGGCCTCGGTGTCTCCAGTACTACAGTTGGGCCTGTTCCGCATGCGGCCCCTTCAGTATTGGCTGAAACCACAAGTTCCATCCTGCGCCTGGCGTCTGGGACGCCTTCGCGTCAAGGTAGACCGGGCCTGTGTATCAGCCCTGGCCCCTTGGAAAGATCCTCATTGGATGGAATGGGGCGTGCCCCTGGGAATGGTCTGCAGAAGGAAGGTAGTCTCGACAGATGCCTCCAACACGGGTTGGGGAGCGCTGTGCGATGGCAAGCCAGCTTTCGGCCACTGGTCGAAAGAGGAAGGCCGGATTCACATCAACTGCCTGGAAATGCTGACAGTGTGTCTGGGCCTTCGAAACCTTTCTGCAAGACCTAATATAAATCGCCAAGGCAGGCTCACCTTGAAGTGCCTTCACGAGATGGTAAAGCGCCTCTTGGAATGGGCACAACTTAACTTGCGCTCATTGAGGGCAACACATGTGCCGGGCATATTGAATCAAGGAGCAGACATGCTGTCTCGGAGCAATGTCCCCTCAGAGGAGTGGATGCTCCATCCGCAAATGGTTCAAAGAATCTGGGACATCTTTGGCAGGGCAAAGATCGACCTCTTTGCCTCAGAAGACAACTCTCATTGCCCAACTTACTTTTCGAAGGACACGAAGGACAGGGCCCACGACTGGCCCAACCTCCTCCTTTACGCTTTTCCCCCGATTGCTCTGATCCCACAGATCCCACAGGGAATCAGGGAACACAAATGCAAGGTCCTCCTAGTGGCCCCGCTCTGGAGGAATCAGCTGATAGCAGCCCCCTGGCCCATTACCCTGAGACAAGACCTTCTCTCTCAGGCGAACAGGACGATTTGGCACCCCCAGCCCGAGCTGTGGGGTCTGCACCTATGGGCTCTTGATGGGAATCTACAAACCTCCCAGAGAGTGTCTTAAATACTATCTCACAGGCTAGAGCCCCGTCTACGAGATACCTCTGTCTTCTCCGCCTGGTGCACAACACGTGGCAAAGACTCAACTTCCTGTGACATATTGGTGATATTGTCCTTCCTCCAAGAGCTGTTGGATAAGGGCCGTTCCCCTTCCACGCTCAAGGTCTATGTAGCAGCTATAGCAGCTTTCCACGCTCCTATAGCAGGACAGTCAGTGGGCAGAAACAACTTGGTTGTTCGCTTTCTTAAGGGATCCAGGAAGCTTAATCCACCTCAGCCCCTTACCGTTCCTGCATGGGATCTGCCCACGGTCCTGAGGGCCCTTAAGGGTTCCCCCTTTGAGCCGCTACAGTCAGCAGACCTATGGACTTCTGTGCTCTGTCAGGGCTCTGAGAATTTACATTGAGTGTTCTGCTGCATTCAAGCAGTCGGAACAACTCTTTGTATGCTTCGGTGGCTGCACCAAAGAGAATTTCTCGGTGGTTAGTTGATGTTATTGCACAAGCATACTCCTCCCTGGGCCTACAATGCCCCATAGAAGTAAGAGCACACTCCACAAGAGATGTAGCCTCCTCTTGGGCATAGTCTAGTGGTGTGTCCATAGCAGACATTTGTGTGGCGGCCGGCTGGGCCTCTCTGTCCACCTTTGCCAGGTTCTATCATTTGGACGTCCCGGCCTTATAGGCTCGGGTCCCTCTGCAAGTCTGTGAAGTTTCAGCTCAAAATACCCCACAGATCATTTATTATATCATTTTGAAAATGCTTATTTTGAGTGGAAGCAGAAACACGCTGTTTTTCGTGCCTGTCTCTTTAATTGCAAATGAGCTGCTGCTCCCCGCCCCCTTTTGGGCTCTGCACCTTTGGCCTCTTGATGGGAGCTTGCGAACCTCCCCAAGAATGTGCTAAACACAATCTCTCAAGCTAGAGCACCGTCTACAAGATGCCTCTGCGTCCTTAAATGGTCTGTCTTCTCTGTCTGGTGTACAGCCCGCGGCGCAGACCCAATCTCATGCGACATATCTCTGATATTGTCCTTCCTGCAAGAGCTGTTGGATAAGGGCCGTTACCCTTCCACGCTCAAGGTCAATGTAGCAGCCATTCTGGCGGGCTTTGGCCGTTTTCTCCGCCTATAACTCCGCCACAGCTCCGCTGCCGAGCCATTGGTTCGTTTTTTATTCACTGCACGAACCAATGGCCGTGCAGTTACACTGCGTTATTGAAAGGCTTCAGTCATCGGAGAAAAAGGAGTTTTCCCCAAGCATCTTAAACAGACGCAGTACTCGTTCCGTATCTCAGGGAACCGAGGTTACGTTAGTAACCGAGTACGTTTCAGAGCAAATATTAAAACTGTGGGAAATATTTTCTTCAAAACTGCACAGGATACAGGCAGTGATCAGAAATAATAAAGATCAGTTCATCCAAATATGAAAATGTTGCAGTCATTAAATAATGAACATAATATCATTACGTTCTTACTTGAAATACAAAATGAGTTAAGCAGAATCTTCTTAGACAAATTTTACATACAGTAAAATTCGGTGGTGGTTTTAAAGTCGGCATGAAACGGAAGTTGCAATTGTCTTTTCTTCTCTACTGTGATGTATATCCAAGCTAAACGGCATCTGAAATGAGAGGACTTGATTTTGTCCTTCGGCAATTGATTGGATCGTTGGAAGCTGGGGCATTGCTAACAAAATGGAGGCAGATCTGAATGCCAGTTTGCAGTTAGTGGTGGGGGATTTCTCTCCACTGGATTCACAGCCAACGCCCAAGCATGAATAAATGTTTTATTTATTAAGGATGATGACGATCAATGGCACAAAACATGCCTAGAGAGAGAGAGAGAGAGAGAGAGAGAGAGAGAGAGAGAGA